TCTTATTTCACTTTATTATCGCTTTGTGGCCCGCGTATGATAAGGTCCTAAGATGGACAACAGGCAGACTGTGGCTACATTTGGCCCCCAAAGAGTGTTTCTGTGCCCTTGACACCCCCAGGCTGTCTTTATTCTGACCCCAAAAGCATTACAGTCAAACTTTAACTTTCACAGCTTTAATTTTCACAAAATTCATTATTTGCAAGTTTGCCACCTCTGGGACTACAAGGCCAGGCATGCCCTATGATGGCAGGATGAAAGCAGCACTTCTTTCCAGTTCCGTAAACCCATAGAGATAGAAATATAGACTGAGGTAATGGGAGGGGGCTAAATCTATTCATGTTTTTTCCACTTTCGTGGGATCCTGCGCACATAATTCTTGCAAATGTGGAGGGCAGACTGTATTGTATTTTTAATGAGTCATGTCTTTGCATGATATGTCCAAAGTATGACAGTCTCAGTTTAGTCAATTTGGCTTCTGGGGACAGTTCAGGTTTGATTTGTTCTAATATCTATTCATTTATATTTTTGGCAGGCCATGGCATCTTCTCCAATACCACATTTCAAATCAATAAATACTCTTCCTTTCAGCTTTCTTCACTGTCCAGCTTTCACAACCATACATAGAAGTCAGAAATATGATTTTTTATTCATTCTAGGCTACTGAAAATATGCACTAAAAAAGCATTTTTCATTTCTTCAGTGCATTGGTTTATATGCTTTAAGTTTAAGATATACCAAAGATATGGTAATGCATTCCAGGGGGAGTTGTGTGTGTGTGTGTGTGTGTGTGTGTGTGTGTGGCAAAAGGAATGTGTACAGTTACTTTGCTGAAAGTACATATAGTAAAATGCAAAATGTATTGGAAAAGGAAAACGACAAACACATGTGGAAATAAGCTCTGGAAAAATATGCTGTTTAGAGGCAGAAAAATGTAAGGCAGTTATGGGAAATATATTATTCTTATATCAGAGATAATTTAAACAAAAAGAATGATCATGGTTCTGTGTGAGGGAATTAAATTGCTTGAGAATAATACTGACAACCTGCACTTTCTCTCGATGTGCAAGTATAGATCCCAACTTTTTGACATTACCTAACTTTCTGCCATTAGATGACATAACATGGCATAACTTTCCCATATAATTCAAGCAGATGTGATGCTTAATTCTGATCAAATTGTGATTCTTTGGATTTCAGAAATACATACAAGTTCTGTCTTTAACTAAGCCAAATGCCTATTTGCTTTTCTGGATTCATGACGTTTTTATCTGAATGCAGATCTGATTTGAGGGTATGAGAACTGGATTTACTGTCTCTGTTTTTTGCCTTTGTAAATTATATAAAGATGCAAACCCTAACCAGAGTCTACATCTGGAATTTGCTTTAGTCCCATCTCTAACTTCAGTACATTTTATATTATAGGGAAATATATAGAGGCAATATAGGAAAATGCATTCTTCTTTTACTGAAGTAAAAAAGAAATCACTGGATAAATGAAGTCTGATACGCTATTATAAGTGTGGTGACTTTTGTCTGAACTTTTCAGGCTTTTACAGACACCCAGTTAAAACATATTTTTCATGTAATGGACAACATCATACTCTAATTGTTTGGAATCCTGTCCTATGCAAAGGGCACTGGGAAGTTTTGTTGCTCCAGCAAGGTTCTGGAAAGTACACATCAAGTGGGAAATGAAATGGCCATTAACAGAGAGGCCGCTACTGAGAGAGAAAAAGAAAAATCTAAATTAGAAATTGTTGCCATCATATGTTCACAATAGATGGCTAGACATTTAATCTGGATCTAGCCAAAATTATCAAGGAGGAAAGGTGGCCATGTCTTAGGATTTTCAGCCTTGAAAAAAGCAGGTAGGGGCAGAAATGTTGGAGATGTATAAAATTATACATGGTGTAGACCAGGCGTGAGTAACTGCATGGGGGCGGGGGACCAATTCCCCTTCCTCCAGACCTCCTTCATGGGCTCCATCTTCTCACAGCAACTCCCAACATTTCTCACTACTGTCTGTGCTAGCTGGGACTCATGGCAGTTGCAGTCCAACACCATCTGGAGGGGCACGCTTTTCCATTCTTACCTTAAAATGTTTTATTGCGGAGGCCTTGGGACCGGCCCATGGGCCGGTCCCGCCACTGCCCCGTGCATGCTGCTCCACCGCCCGCGCTTGCGCACACATGCACACGGCAGTGGGCGCCATTTTGAAATGCCCTACAGGCCGGCGTCGTGCGCATGTCAGGAGCCAGTTGAGCGGCAACTGAAGTGAGGATCTTTTCAGTGGTGGCCCCCTTCTTTAGAATTCTCCTTCCAAAGAGATTTGTGCAGTACTTATATTATTGTTATTTAGGCATAGGAAGCTACTGAGTCAGTTGCTTATTCATCTAAATTAGTGTTGTCTATACTTGAGTCTCACTAGGATTTCAGGTAGGAATCTTTCCTGGCCTTACTTGGAAATGTTGAGGATTGAATCAGGGGCTTTAAGCAGGCAAAAATTGTTCTTTGACCCCCTTCTGGAATAGCATGAAATACTTCTCCCTAACCACACACCCAGTCCGCACACCAAATATTCTCCAATGCCGTAATTCCAGTCTAGTCCAGTTGCTATATGTATTATTGGTTTTAATTTTTGAAAGAGCACCCATGCAAAGGCTAAAAATGCAAATAAGATGATATCATATATAATTTTTGTGGGGTTTTTGGGCTGTGGGGCCATGTTCTAGAAGAGTTTCTTTCTGACGTTTTGCCAGTATCTGTGGCTGGCATATTTCTCTGAAGATGCCAGCCACAGATGCTGGCGAAACGTCAGAAAGAATCTCTTCTAGAACATAGGCACACAGCCTGAAAAATCCACAAAAAAGTATGGATGCCGGCCAGGAAAGCCTTTGACTTCACAATGATATCGTATACTTTGACATTTCACCAAGGAAAACTGGGGCACATGTAGCCAAGCAACAATATGATTATATTACTATGGTGAAGATGGCAAAAAGTTATTAATAAGGAAGAAAACACAAGCTAGGAGAGGCTGGATCAGTTTGCTTTTGCCTGAACCTACTGAAATGACTGAATACCCTGCCCTATCCTACTCCCTCCAGTCCTGTGCTTTTCTCTCCCTCACTGTGTCAATAGAGGAGTGCAAACTATAGTTGCATTTTGAACTCAATTTGCACCAACTTACATTAACTGAGGATTAAGAGGGAAAGTGCAAGGAGGAGGAGATAGAAACTGGGACATCATAAAAATAGTTGGAAAAGTGGGATGGTGGAGGATTAATTGGGACTGTCCCTGCCAAATCAGGACAGTTTGAGGATATGTTATGTCACGTATGGCCTCAAACGGCTGTGGAAAGTCATTGCTGGTCAGCATACATAGCTAATATGGAGCTAGTTGGACCAATGATCTGTCTCAGTGTTATGACCCTTCCCTGAATTTGTGTTGCTCAGACATATGTCATTCTGGTTAAGCTACTTGTGGAAGGAACTAAATCTAAGGCTTTAAGCAGCCTCATGTATGAAGCCTTAGAAGAAAGCATGATGGTTTCATCATGTAGGAGACACTGTTCTGTTGAACACATATTAAGGCCTATAGAATTGTTCTGTAGTTAAAGGGTATGTGAGAAGACAGTAATATGAAAAACATGATATTTAGCCTCTAAAATAACACACTGGTGAGAAAACATTTCCAGCAAGGACAACATTTTTCTTTCTTTCATCCTTTCCTTTTCTCAGCTCTTCTGTGTTGGTTTATGAGTCATAGGAGAGTAATCAATTTGGCCTTGAAGCTCCCCAGCTCAGCCTGAATAAAATGGCATATAAATGGCTTTATACATGTTGCACTGTTTAATGTTTGTTCTGTTCTTTGCTAGAGTAGCCTTTTACATTTAAAACATTACAATGTGATGCATCTGTAGTGTTACTTTTCTATACAGCTTCCAAGATTTGGTACCATTTGGTCTAATTAGAGCTGTTGCATGTGAAAATATAAATTTATTTTGCAACCAAGCAGTTTTATATATTTTGTCTAATGTGTTGTCTTTGAGGATTTCACAAGATAAATTTACTGACATTTTTCATGCACAATGAATTTGCATACCTTTTGCTGAAATAATATTCCCCTTTAAAGATGTTTTCCCAAGCTGGATTCACTCTCAATGTTTCAGTCAACAACTCTCACAAATTCCAGCCTTAGACTTGCCAAAATTGCCAAATAT